TTTAATTACTGAACACGGTCCAGCAAATTTAAAAGCTCGCCCTCCCTCCCTCCCTCCCAGGCAGCCATCTCTAAACTTCGGCCTCCTCAGCAGTAGGTAAATGCCAGCGGGTACCATCCCTGGCCTTCCACCGCTGCTATTCCACGGTGTACTAGACAGTCCAATAAAATCTGAACTTTACAGAGGATAAAGAACAGTCTATAATGAAAATGCAAGATTTTATTTTAAAAAAAGACCAATAAATGCCCTTGCAGAATGTAGCAGTGCAAGCTTGTCCCCTCAGATCGAATCCCTGCTCGGAGATGCACGTCTGTAGTGTGTACGGATCCTGAAAAGTACCGTGACAGGAGAGTAGAGGTGAAACTTGACTTTCACTTGTTGAACAGTTTCAGAATCAAACAACGTATTTTGGTCTTTATTCTAACAAATGATACAACCAAAAATCACTATTAGTGAAGGTAAGTTAAAAACATGGACCAGACGACTAGTAAAATGCAAAAAAGTGACATTGTTTCCATGATAATTACAAATTGTAAGGAAAATAAAAGTGAAACTGCAGCATTACAGGAAATTTGTTAATACGGATTAAATAATGCAGTTATCCTTGCGTGAATTACAAATCAAGAACACAGACATTTAACGAAACAGACGGTTGCTTTGAATATCAACTTAACACGGTGGGTTTCCAGCACAAATATATCCAGAGGTTTTTGTAACAAATAATTTCAATACATAAACCAAGAATTGCAGTAAAGTGAGTACAGTGACTGGAACAGCAGCTCCTTCAAAGGAAAAAGAAAACGTATTCCCTTTGCCACAAATTAAAGCAATATTTTGGAAGACCAGTAAAACAGTTTGGTTAAGAAACAACCCTAGGAATTCTTTTGCAACAATTTCTTATTTCAGTTTACCCAAATTAATGGCTGAGTTAATACTTATTCATGAAAAAAAAACCCTCTCAGCCATCGGAAAAACAAACAAAAACCCAAAAGCGGTGAGACCAGAAAGAAACGAGGCCCCAAGCTCTGAACTGAGGTGGGCTCTGCCACAGCCCCGGTACCGAGGTCTCCCCCTCCACCCCCTCACTCGCGCACCGTTGCCAGCTCCACCTCAAAGACCACCACGGGGTCAACCTGCGCCTTCATACGGGGATGCTTACCCAACCCACGCCAGCTCCCTTCTTCACCCCGCGCGTGTTAACCATAACCAACACCGTACGCCGCAGCCGGCGTGCCCAGAAATGCGGTTTTAATTACCCGGACATTCTCGCATCCCAGGGCACCTGGTTGCAATGGAGCCCCTACACGTGCGCAAGTTAAAGCTGACACGCAGCGATGCTTGCGCAGCAGTGATGAGACAGCCCCGGCTGTGGATATGTATTCACTCTACAGGGGACCAAACCTTCCCTTAACACCCAAGGTGGTCTTAAGGAATAGGGGAAAACAAGAGTTAAGTTCTGCTAGATCAATCCTGCTAGAAAAAAATAAAATTTCCAAAAATCGCAAGTGGTGAAGGGCGCCGGTGCCCACAGCACAGCCGCGGACCGAGGCT